TTTTTTGTTAGTTTGTTCGTTTGTTTTTGAGACAGAGTCTCGCTCTGTTGCTAGGCTGAAGTGCAGTGGCCAGATCTCGGCTAACTGCAACCTCCAAGTCCTGAGTTCAAACAATTCTCCTGCCTTAGCCTCCCAAGTAACTGGGATTACAAGCATATGCCACCATGCCCAGCTAATTTTTGTATTTTTAGCAGAGACAGGGTTTCACCATGTTGGCCAGAATGGTCTCGATCTCTTGACCTGTCATCCGCCTACCTCAGCCTCCCAAAGTGCTGGGATTACAGGCGTGAGCCGCCACACCTGGTTTATGTACGAGTTTTTATGTGGACAAATGTTTCATTTTTTTAAATGCCTAGGAGTGTGAATGCTAGGTCATATGGTAAGTAAGTGTTTAGTTTTTGGCTAGGTGCAGTAGCTTGCAGCTGTAATCCTAGCACTTTGGGAGGCTGAGGCAGGAGAACTGCTTGCACCCAGGAGACAGAGGTTGCAGTGAGCTGAGTTTGCACTAGTGCACTCCAGTGTGGGTGACAGAGTGAGACTCTGACTCAAAAAAAATTGTACTTTTTAAAGAAACTGCCAAACTATTTTTCAGAGTGGCTGTACCATTTTACATCCCACTAGCAATGTATGAGGCATAAAGTTTCTCTGCATACTCTTTTGTCACTATTTTTTATTTTAGTTTCTAAAATAATTTTGAAAATCAGTGATAGACATTGAGTTTTATTGATTACATATTTTGGCATTTATTGAGATAATTTCAGGGTGTCTCTTATTGGACCTATTAATGAATTTTATTATTCTATCTAAATGTATATGTTTTAAATGCTAAAATCTCCTACCATTCTTTTTTTTGGGGGATGGAGTTTCGCTCTTACTGCCCCGGCTGAAGTGCAATGGTGTGATCTCAGCTCACTGCAACCTTCGCCTCCCAGGTTCAAGCAATTCTCCTGCCTCAGCATCCTGAGTAGCTGGGATTACAGGCATGCACCACCATGCCCAGCTAATTTTGTATTTTTAGTAGAGATGGGGATTCTCCATGTTGGTCAGGCTAGTCTCGAACTCCCAACCTCAGGTGATCTGCCCACCTCAGCCTCCCAAAGTGCTGGGATTACAGGCATGAGCTACTGCACTTGGCAATCTCCCACTATTCTTATTAGAGTTTCCCTCCTCAAAGGCAATCACTTTACCTGATCCTTGATAATCTAGGGACTATATCTATATATTAACAGTAGCATATCACATGCACAGTTCTGCAGCTTGCCTTTTTACTTATTATTATTTGTCATCTAGGAATTGCTTGAGATATTATTACTTTTTTTGAGACAGTATCTTGCTCTGTCACCCAAGATGGAGTACAGTGGCCCAATTATGGCTCACTGCAGCCTCAACTTCCAGGACTCTGGCAATCCTCCCACCTCAGCCTCCTGAGTAACTAGGACTACAGGTATGTGCCACCATGCCCAACTAATTTATCTTTTGTAGAGATGGAGTTTTGCCCCGTTGTCCAAGCTGGTCTTGAATTCCTGGATGCAAGCCATCCTCACGTCTCAGCCTCCCTAACTGCTGGGATTATACAGGTGTAAGCCACTGCACCCAGCCCACTTAATATCTCACAGACCATTCTGTATCAGTACCTGAGGATCTATCTCAGTCTTTTTAACAGCTGCATAGCATTCTACTGAGGAATGTGCCAGTTTAATCAACCAGTTCATTTCTGATAGACATTAAAGTTGTTCCCAGTTCTTTGTAATTACTGACGATGCTGCAATGAACACTCTAGTATGATGGAATTTGTAGCCCATGTGAGCACTAATGTAGAATAAATTCCTGACATGAAATTGTTAGGTCAAAGACATTCAAGTTGGAATAGCTGTTGCCAAATTGCCTTCAAAGTGTCTCTATATTTTAAACTCCCATCAACAATGAACAACAATGTTCTTCTCTACAATATCTTTTCTCTCTCTTTCTTCTCTCTCTCTCTTTTTTTTTTTTTGGATACCGAGTCTCACTCTACCACCCAGTCTGGAGTGCAGTGGCATCATGTCAGCTCACTGAAACGTCTGCCTCCCGGGTTCAAGTGATTCTCCTGCCTCAGCCTCCCGAGTAGCTGAGATTACAGATGTGCGTCACTACGCCCAGCTAATTTTTGTGTTTTTAGTAGAGTTGAGGTTTCACCATGCTGGCCAGGCTGGTCTCAAACTCCTGACCTCAAGTGATACATCTACCTCAGCCTCCCAAAGTGCTGCAATTACAAGCATGTGCCACCGTGTCTGGCCAATATCTTTTTTTTTTTTTTTTTTTGAGACGGAGTTTCGCTCATGTTACCCAGGCTGGAGTGCAATGGTGCGATTTCTGCTCACTGCAACCTCCGCCTCCTGGGTTCAGGCAATTCTCCTGCCTCAGCCTCCCGAGTAGCTGAGATTACAGATGTGCGTCACTACGCCCAGCTAATTTTTGTGTTTTTAGTAGAGTTGAGGTTTCACCATGCTGGCCAGGCTGGTCTCAAACTCCTGACCTCAAGTGATACATCTACCTCAGCCTCCCAAAGTGCTGCAATTACAGGCATGTGCCACCGTGTCTGGCCAATATCTTTTTTTTTTTTTTTTTTTGAGACGGAGTTTCGCTCATGTTACCCAGGCTGGAGTGCAGTGGTGCGATTTCTGCTCACTGCAACCTCCGCCTCCTGGGTTCAGGCAATTCTCCTGCCTCAGCCTCCTGAGTAGCTGGGATTACAGGCACACGCCACCATGCCCAGCCAATTTTTTTGTATTTTTAGTAGAGATGGGGTTTTACCATGTTGACCAGGATGGTCTCGATCTCTTGACCTTGTGATCCATCTGCCTCGGCCTCCCAAAGTGCTGGGATTACAGGCTTGAGCCACCATGCCTGGCCAATATCTTTTCTAATATGTGTATCGTTTCCAATCTGACGTCTTAAAAAATAGCATTTCACCTTAATTTTAAGTTTCAATTCCATTAGGAGGTGGCTCAGTATCTTTTCATTTGCTTAAAAGCTATCCATATTACTTTTCTATTAACTGTGTGTTCATATCCTTTGCCCTTTTATTATTTAAAATCAATGTTTAGCTAGAAAATGCCACTTTCCTATTTTCATTTGCTCAACAGCTTCCTCAGAGGCAGGTGACTCCCTCAGACAAGTGTCCCCTGTCCTCCACAACCAGCTCCCTCCTCTTCTTGTTTTTTTCCCCCCCCCCAAAGTGGAGTCTTGCTCTGTTGCCCAGGTTGGAGTGCAGTGGCACAATCTTGGCTCACTGCAATCTCCACCTCCTGGGTTCTACCAATTCTCCTGCCTCAGCCTCCTGAGTAGCTGGGATTATACGTGTGCGCCACCACATCTAGCTAATTTTTGTCTTTTTAATAGAGACGAGGTTTCATCATGTTGGCCAGGCTGGTTTCCAACTCCTGACCTCAAGCAATCCACCTGCCTGTGCCTCCCACAGTGCTGGGATTACAGGCGTTAGCTGGTGCCTGGCCCCAGCTCCCTCTTCTAACTCATAAATGCCTCCTTCCCCAACACCACTGTCTGTTCACCAGGAAGGGACCCTTTATGGTCTCCTCAACATCTCACACTCCTCCTCAGATTCTGTGCATGCTCTCCCATCACTCCACTCTAGGGTGCTCTCTTCTCAGTCAAACCTATCCAGTCCTTCAGGGTCCAGCCTAATTCCACCTGTCTGGGCACCTTTCTGAATAACTAGTGCTCACATTGCATACAGTCTCATGTTCAGGCGCGCCTCCTCCCTCAATCAGAGGCTATGTCCCTGGAAGGCTGTGCCTGACAGGCAGAGCCCAGCTGCCACTCTGTCCATGCTCAGTGTGGGTGTGTGTGTATGGCCAGGAGTCTGAGTGTGGAGAATGTTTCATTCACTCATCCTGCAGCTTTTTTGTTTGTTCTGAGACAGATTCTCACTGTTGCCCAGGCTGGAGTGCAGTGGCCCCATCTCGGCTCATTGCAACCTCTGCCTCCCTGGTTCAAGGGATTTGCTGCCTCAGCCTCCTGAGTAGCTAGCTGCTGGGATTACAGGTGCCCACCACACCACACTGGGCTAACTTTTGTTTTTTTTTTTTTTTTGGTAGAGACAGGGTTTCACCATCTTGGTCAGGCTAGACTAGACTCCTGACCTCAAGTGATTCACCTGCCTCGGCCTCCTAGAGTGTTGGGATTACAGACCTGAGCCACCGTGCCCTGCCCACCCTGCAGTTAATGAATGCATAATGCATACATGAGTTAGGCACTGTTCCAGGCATTGGAGATAAGGCAGTGTATGAGGCAGATCAAGGCCCCTTCTCTCATCCAGCTGACAAGCTGGAACTATTATACAACTAACAAGACAAACACAAATAAAAATATCAATTAAATGCAAGCAAGTAATGAAACAGCCAGGGAAGGAGGGGAAGGATTTTCTTTGCAGAGGGATCCGGGAGGGGTCCCTGAGGAGATGTGACAGGAGAGGGTGCTGCCGCTGCAAAGAGCTTTGCAGGGCCCCACTAGACGCCCCGCCTGGCCGCCTGTCTTCCAGAGACGGACGTGCAGCCCAGCCCTCAACACCCCTTCTCTCTGTTACTTGACAGGAACTAAAGGCACAAGCCTGCGATCCTTGCAACCTTAGGGTTGTGTGGGGGAAACCCTGCTCCCTCCTGCTTCACATCCCAGCTGAAAACTTGGGAAACCGTAATCACGCTTGGCCTGCATTGATAGAGCAGCTACTACGTGCCAGGGTCCAGCTAAGCAATTTATGCGATTGTTAGGTCTTTTAATCTTCACAACGATCCCATGTAGACTCGATTAACCTTACAGGAGAAAAGACGGAGTTTGGGAATATGGCAGGCACCTGGGTGTTAACTTGGTTCACACATAAGTGGAGTTCCCGGGTCGGGCAGTCTGCTGGTGCGGGTCTGCGGGGGTTTACTGAGCGTTCCCGGCACGCGGCGTTTTCGGAGTTGGTCGGGTCCAACCGCGGACTCCGAAGCTGCCAGGCGCGCCCGCCAGCGGCCCCCCGCCCCGCCCGGGTCTCCTGGCGTCGGGGGCAAAAGGGAGCGCCGGGGCCAGCAGGCTGGGGGCGGGGAAGGCGCGGGGACAAAGGCCGCGGGCACCGCGCTGGGCCGGCCGGTGCGGCGGCGAACTCCGGGCGTCGGGACCTGGCCGGGCAATCGCGTCCCAAGGAGCCCGCGCCTGGATGGAGCACCCCGGGGCGCCGCCGGGCCCCGAGCTGGCTGAGCCGCCGCCCCCGCCCCCGCCTCCGCCCGCGCCCCCGCCCCCTCACCCCCACCCCCACCCCGCGGAGGCTCCGCGCTCGGCGAACATGGCGGCGGCGGCGGTCGGGCGGGACACTTTACCTGAGCGCTGGTCCTACGGCGTGTGCCGGGACGGCCGCGTCTTCTTCATCAAGTGCGGCGCGGGGACGCGAGGACGCGGGGACGCGGGTGGGGGCGGGGACCAGGCGGGAACCCCGCAGGCAGTGGCGGCTCTAACAGGTGCACCTCTCTGCCCGCAGCGACCAGCTCCGCCGCACGACCTGGCTGCACCCGCGCACCGGGGAGCCCGTCAACTCCGGCCACATGATTCGCTCAGGTGGGCGCCTGGCCGGCGAGGCGGGGCGGGGGGGGGCGCGCGCCGCTGCGGCCCAAGTTTGACCCGACTTTTCTGGCGTTTCCGCAGACCTGCCCCGCGGCTGGGAGGAGGGCTTCACCGAGGAGGGCGCCAGCTACTTCATCGAGTGAGTGAGTGGGGCCGCAGCGCTCGCACCTGCGCCCCGGGGGTCCCTCCGAGTTCCCGCCGGGCGCCCCGCCCTCCCTCTGCTCCCGCCGGCCGGAGCGCGTTAGCGCGCGCTGCGCCGCGCCTCACTCCGGGTTTTGTGTGCCGGAGTTGTGTGGCGGGCTCCGAGAGGGAGGCATTGGGGGCCGCATCGACGCTGGGGACCTGGGCGCGGGAAAGGGGCCACAGACTCGGCGCCCTGGACCTTGCGATCCGGCAGGATTCGGGAGCTGGTGTGAGGGCCGGGCACGCCTCCCCGCTGGGGTCTCCGGCTGCGCCCCGCCGGGAGAGGCGGGTGTTGGGACCTTGTTGGGCTCGTGTAGGGGGAGTAGAGCGAGGAGTTCTGTCCTGGTGTGGGCCTGCGGGGTTGGGGTGGGGAGAGGGAGAGACGGGGAACCTCGCTTAGGAGGCCTCCTTCTCCGGCCTCGGGCTTTGGGATGATCCTGGGGAGTCGGAACCGCGCCCCCGGCCTCCATCCACTGCGCGGACCTGCGGGGAGGGAGGGGGAGGGGAGTGGAACTGGTCAACCAATGGCGTTCCTTGAGCGCTCCGCGTCTCTTCGGCCAGAGCTGAACCTGGCGATCGCTGGTGCCTCTGTTTGTCCAGCTGCAACTTTTCCGCAAAAGCCCGGGAGGGTTGCCGCACCAGCCAGGTTACCCTGGGTCTGTAGGATCGGTCCATGTCAGATTGGGGGGCAGTAAGTGAAGGCGTGAGTCAGGCTCCTAAGCCGGTATAGACTTTGCTTTCCCGCTTGGGCGACAGCCTGTGTTGCAGCATGTTTCCCTCTACCTGCTGAGCTCTGAGAGGCCAAAACCTGCTTTTGACCCCTTGCCCCAGTGCCCGACAGAGAGTAGTCACTCGGTAAATGTTTGTTCACCGAATGAATGAACTAGCCAAAGGTCCGGACGGTGGTCTGACTAGTAGTGGGTGTACTTGGGGACTGTGAGTCAGAATTACTACTCTTAGTCAGTGGTGAAGCAGCCTATTTCAAGAAAACCCTGGAACCTTCTTTTCTGGTTTGAGTTCTTGCACAATAGTTGAAAATACTGATGGATGAGACTTACAGATCTGAGGACTAGAGCCTTGCTACGGTTCTGTTGCCTGCCTCGTGTGTGTATGAAGTTGGGGAGTTGGCTGGGCCGTCAGAGCGTTGCTATCAGTGGACCTCTCTGGCTCATAACTGCATCTGTTGATATTATTACAGTTTTCCTGTGCGCCACAAGATCACACATTGTTCTAGGCATTGGGAACAAAACAGGCAAGTTCTGGGTGCTCATGGAGCTTGCAGTCTAATGGGAGAGGAAAAAAGGGAATAAAAAATAAGTAAAGAAACACAAATAATATCCGATTGTAGTTACTACTGTGCAGAAAGTTAAAATAAGGTGATGTGGTATGGAGTGACTGGGTGGCTTGGTTGAACTGGGAGATCAAGGGCGTTTCTGAATAGGCAACATTTAAAGTAAAATTTGAATGACAAGAAGGAGGCATCATGTGATGAGGTGGGGTTGCAAAGCATTTTGGGAAAAGCGAACAGCCAGGGCAAGGGCTTAAGGCAGAAAATAGCTTGGACTTTAAGGAGCAGGAGGACCAGGTGGCTGGAGTGTGGTGAACAGGACGTGAGGAGAGGTCACAGGTAGGAGGGGGCAGATGTTGCAAAGCTTTGTGAGTGAGGGTGAGGAGTTATCATACTTTCTTCTAATCCCAGTGAAACACCATGGAGGCTTTTAAGCAAGGAAGTGTCATGATTTAGTTTGTGTTTAGAACCATCACTGTGAGGAGATTGGATTGTAGGTGGCCACTGCAGGGCAGGCAGGAAAGCAACTGAGGCTGTTCCCTCGTCCAGGCAGGAGTTAGCAGAGGCTTGCTTGAGGTGGTAGCGCAGGAGACATGGAGTAGTGTCACATTCAGGCTGTGTTCAGGAAGTAGGCTCTTCACACCTTCATGATGGACTGAATAAAGTCTGTGAGAGAAAGAGAAGAGGTGAAGATGACTCCTCAAGGCTTAGTGCCTGAGTGGATAGCATTCATATAGTTGAGATGAAAAGAGCCGGTTTGGGGTGGAGGAGAATCGTGAGATTTTGTTTTGCCATTTTACATTTGAGATGTGAGTATGTCAGATAATCAGATGTGTGATCTGAAGCTTGGTGGGGAGAGAGGACGGAAGAGATTCCATTTGAGTATAATAGATGTTATTTAAGGCCATGGGATTAGATGAAATCCCTTAGGAAGAGAGTACAGACAGAAGAGAGATGTTCTGAGCCTTTGGATGGTCTAAGCAGTGTTCAGAGGGGAGAGAGGTGAAGCCAGCAAGGAGACTGAGAAGGCAGGAGAAACCCCAGGAGAATGCGTGATCACAGAGGCCTTATAGGACAAAGCCTGACTAGAGTAGGTGGAAGATAAAATATGGGGTGAAGATGGGGAGTCAATCAGGCAAATCTTACAGGTAGTTTTCTTGCAAAGTGGAGTCGAGACATTAGCCAGTAATGGAGAGGATGTGGTCTTGAGGGAAGGTTTTCCTTTCTTTTTTCAGTGGGAGATTGTACAGCATGTTTTGTTATGATGGGAATGACGATTGAGAGGGAAAAATCGATGCTTCGGCAAAGAGACCCAGCATTTGCCAAAGCAATGTTTCTGAGGAAGTGAGAGGGATGGGATCCACAGCCTGCATCTCACTGGCCTCACCCAGGGACAGGGCCTGTCATTATTTTGACAGGAGGAAGGGGTGCCAGTGTTCTGAAGTACCAGCTGCAGTCTTGGGCTGGTGTGTGAGGATGCATGTGGGACTCTGGAGGCTGGAGTACAGCCTTCCACACCTTTGCTGACTCTTCCATGGTAACTCATCTATGAGGTCCCTCATGATTATCTGACAGTGAGTTCCCTTGCCCAGGGCCTTGGCTGACTCCTCCCAGGCCTAGGGAAAGCAATGTGTGAGTGTTCCCTACCCTCGAAGGCAGGGCGCTGTGACAGATGGTTGTACTTCTGACCTCCTTCAATAACAATTTTTTGAGAGACTTAAGATTTTGGAAGTAATTATTCTCTTCCTCACCCACTGCCCCGACATAAAAAATGTTTTCCTGTTGTCTGATTTCTTAGTTTTGCCACAAGCATTTCTGAATGTTTGATTTTTGTGCTGAGGGCAAGAGTGTGTCCTCTAACTTGGCTCATAAAGTGAGAGGGACAAAACATCGACACGGTTGATTTTATTTTTCCTAATGGATCCTTGCACAGGAAAGTTGTGTGAGGTTTTTCAGGATGTATTCAGTTGCTCCTCATATTTAGCAGATTAAAAAGATAATAATTTCTAAAAACATTTTAAGAAACAGAATCTTCTCTGTCTCCCAGGCTGCATTGCAGTGGTACAGACATAGCTCACTGCAGTCTTGAACTCCTGAGGTCAAGTGATCCTCCCACTTCAGCCTCACAAGTAGCTTGAACTACAGATGCAGGTCACCATGCCCAGCCGGCAAATGTTTTAATATTCTGCAGAGTCCTCCTCTCCTCCTCCTCTCCTCTCCTCTCCTCTCCTCTTCTCTCCTCTCCTCTCCTCTCCTCTCCTCCCCTCCCCTCCCCTCCCCTCCCCTCCCTTCCCCTCCCCCCTCCCCCTCCCCCTCCCCCTCCCCCTCCTTCTTCTTCCTTCTTCCTTCTTCCTTCTTCCTCCTTCCTCCTTCCTCCTTCCTCCTTCCTCCTTCTTCCTTCTTCTTCCTTTTTTTTTTAGATAGCCTTGCTCTGTCACCCAGACTGGAGTGCAGTGGTACAATCTCAGCTTACTGCAACCTCTGCCTCCTGGGTTCAAATGATTCTCGTGCCTCAGTCACCCCCCTGGATTCAGGCGATTCTCCTGTCTTAGCCTCCCAAGTAGTTGGGATTACAGGCGTGTGCCACTATGCCCAGATAAATGTTTTTGTATTTTTAGTTGAGACGGAGTTTCACTGTGTTAGCCAGGTTGGTCTGGATCTCCTGACCTTGTGATGCACCCCCTTCAGCCTCCCAAAGTGCTGGGATTACAGGCATGAGCCATTGCGCCTGGCCTCAGAGTCCATTTCTTGAAGCAGAAAAGCTTGATCTTAAGCAGATGAATTTCAGTTTTGATTTCTGCACGTTTTGTTCAATTTTACATCAATGAGGGACAAAATACATAAGGAATCTACTGTTGGTTGTCCCAGTTCTAGACTGTGACGCTGATAACCCCTTTAAAAAGATTTTTTGGCTGGGTGTAGTGGCTCATGCCTGCAATTCCAGCACTTTGGGAGGCAGAGGCAAGAGGATCATTTGAAGCCAGGAGTTCAAGATCAGTCTGGGTGGCTGGGTGCGGTGGCTCATGCCTATAATCCCAGCACTTTGGGAGGCTGAGGCAGGTGGATCACGAGGTCAAGAGATCGAGACCATCCTGGTCAACAAGGTGAAACCCTGTCTCTACTAAAAATACAAAAATTAGCTGGGCTTGGTGGTGCGTGCCTGTAATGGCAGCTACTCAGGAGGCTGAGGCAGGAGAATTGCTTGAACCCAGAAGGCCGAGGTTGCACTGAGCTGAGATCATGCCATTGCACTCCAGTCTGGGTAACAAGAGCGAAACTCAGTCTCAAAAAAAAAAAAAAAAAAAAAAAAAAGATCAGTCTGGGCAACATAGAGAGACCTCATCTCTACAAAAAATGAAAAAAATAGCAGTCGGATGCTCCTGTAGTTCTGGCAACTTGAGAGGCTTAAGTGTGAGGATTGCTTGAGCCCAGGAGTCTGAGGTTACCATGAACTATGATTGTGCTGCTGTACTCCAACCTGGTGACAGAGTGAGACCCTGTCCCTAAATAAATAAATAATAAAAAGACATCTTGTACTCTAGCACTTCTCTACTTTACTATGAATCCCTTAGCTGGGTAGCAGGGCATAATAGTAATTGTGATAATAGTGTCATTAAAAGAAGTAGCAATACTAGTAATAATAATTATATAACAGCCTAATCTTTTGA